CGAAAACTCGTTACCTGCAATCGCAAAAAATCAGTTAGGCTTCAAATGTAGTATTCGCAAAGTTTTTGAAACTGCAACAATTGTAAGATTGTGTGATCAATTCACTATACTGTTTAATTGTATTTTTCGAGAAGATGTGAGAAAAGCAAGCAGCCTGTTAGGCTTCAAATGTTGTATTCGCAAGTTTTTGAAACTGCCAAATTGGAAGATTGTGTGATCAATTCACTATACTGTTAATTGTATTTTCGTGAAGATGTGAGAAAAGCAAGCAGCCTGTTTCCGTAGTGTAGTGGTTATCACGTTCGGCTAACACGCGAAAGGTCCCTGGCGGAAACAATATGAAGCCAGTAAATATTTTGAAACGATATCTATGCTGGATACCATGTGAAACTACGTGCCCATAAAGCTAACTTCTCTTGAACTGCCGTTCTGCAGTGGCGTTAATCAAAGTTATTTGCATTTTAATCCACGTTATCAATGTTCCAAGTATAACTTAGCACTATATATGAATAGAGGTGTAATGTACACTAATTTACCTATTGTCTTCAACGACACGTTTCATAAGGTGGTGTTAATTATAAGTAAATTGGAATTTGTTTTCTCCTGCGGCGTCAACTAAAACTAAATGATATTTGTTTTCGCCCGGGTTCGAACCGGGGCCTTTCGCGTGTGAGGCGAACGTGATAACCACTACACTACGAAAACTCGTTACATGCAATCGCAAAAAATCAGTTAGGCTTCAAATGTTGTATTCGCAAGTTTTTGAAACTGCAAAATTGGAAGATTGTGTGATCAATTCACTATACTGTTAATTGTATTTTCGAGAAGATGTGAGAAAAGCAAGCAGCCTGTTTTCGTAGTGTAGTGTTTATCACGTTCGCCTAACACGCGAAAGGTCCCTGGTTCGAGCCCAGGCGGAAACAATACGAAGCCAGTAAATATTTTGAAACGATATCTATGCTGGATACCATGTGAAACTACGTGCCCATAAAGCTAACTTCTCTTGAACTGCAGTTCTGCAGTGCCGTTAATCAAAGTTATTTGCATTTTAATCCACGTTATCAATGTTCCAAGTATAACTTAGCAGTATATATGAATAGAGGTGTAATGTACACTAATTTACCTATTGTCTTCAACGACACGTTTCATAAGGTGGTGTTAATTATAAGTAAATTGGAATTTGTTTTCTCCTGCGGCGTCAACTAAAACTAAATGATATTTGTTTTCGCCCGGGTTCGAACCGGGGCCTTTCGCGTGTGAGGCGAACGTGATAACCACTACACTACGAAAACTCGTTACATGAAATCGCAAAAAATCAGTTAGGCTTCAAATGTTGTATTCGCAAGTTTTTGAAACTGCAAAATTGGAAGATTGTGTGATCAATTCACTATACTGTTAATTGTATTTTCGAGAAGATGTGAGAAAAGCAAGCAACCTGTTTCCGTGGTGTAGTGGTTATCACGTTCGCCTAACACGCGAAAGGTCCCTGGTTCGAGCCCAGGCGGAAACAATATGAAGCCAGTAAATATTTTGAAACGATATCTATGCTGGATACCATGTGAAACTACGTGCCCATAAAGCTAACTTCTCTTGAACTGCAGTTCTGCAGTGGCGTTAATCAAAGTTATTTGCATTTTAATCCACGTTATCAATGTTCCAAGTATAACTTAGCACTATATATGAATAGAGGTGTAATGTACACTAATTTACCTATTGTCTTCAACGACACGTTTCATAAGGTGGTGTTAATTATAAGTAAATTGAAATTTCTTTTCCAATGCGGCGTTAATTAAAACTAAATGATTTTTGTTTTCGCCCGGGTTCGAACCGGGGACCTTTCGCGTGTGAGGCGAACGTGATAACCACTACACTACGAAAACTCGTTACATGAAATCCCAAAAAATCAGTTAGGCTTCAAATGTTGTATTCGCAAGTTTTTGAAACTGCAAAATTGGAAGATTGTGTGATCAATTCACTATACTGTTAATTGTATTTTCGAGAAGATGTGAGAAAAGCAAGCAGCCTGTTTCCGTAGTGTAGTGGTTATCACGTTCGGCTAACACGCGAAAGGTCCCTTGCAGAAACAATATGAAGCCAGTAAATATTTTGAAACGATATCTATGCTGGATACCATGTGAAACTACGTGCCCATAAAGCTAACTTCTCTTGAACTGCAGTTCTGCAGTGGCGTTAATCAAAGTTATTTGCATTTTAATCCACGTTATCAATGTTCCAAGTATAACTTAGCACTATATATGAATAGAGGTGTAATGTACACTAATTTACCTATTGTCTTCAACGACACGTTTCGTAAGGTGGTGTTAATTATAAGTAAATTGGAATTTGTTTTCTCCTGTGGCGTCAATTAAAACTAAATGATATTTGTTTTCGCCCGGGTTCGAACCGGGGGGCCTTTCGCGTGTGAGGCGAACGTGATAACCACTACACTACGAAAACTCGTTACATGAAATCCCAAAAAATCAGTTAGGCTTCAAATGTTGTATTCGCAAGTTTTTGAAACTGCAAAATTGGAAGATTGTGTGATCAATTCACTATACTGTTAATTGTATTTTCGATAAGATGTGAGAAAAGCAAGCAGCCTGTTTCCGTAGTGTAGTGGTTATCACGTTCGGCTAACACGCGAAAGGTCCCTGGCGGAAACAATATGAAGCCAGTAAATATTTTGAAACGATATCTATGCTGGATACCATGTGAAACTACGTGCCCACAAAGCTAACTTCTCTTGAACTGCAGTTCTGCAGTGGCGTTCATCAAAGTTATTTGCATTTTAATCCACGTTATCAATGTTCCAAGTATAACTCAGCACTATATATGAATAGAGGTGTAATGTACACTAATTTATCTAGTGTCTTCAACGACACGTTTCATAAGGTGGTGTTAATTATAAGTAAATTGGAATTTGTTTTCTCCTGCGGCGTCAATTAAAACTAAATGATATTTGTTTTCGCCCGGGTTCGAACCGATGGCCTTTCGCGTGTGAGGCGAACGTGATAACCACTACACGATGAAAACTCGTTACATGAAATCCCAAAAAATCAGTTAGGCTTCAAATGTTGTATTCGCAAGTTTTTGAAACTGCAAAATTGGAAGATTGTGTGATCAATTCACTATACTGTTAATTGTATTTTCGAGAAGATGTGAGAAAAGCAAGCAGCCTGTTTCCGTAGTGTAGTGGTTATCACGTTCGGCTAACACGCGAAAGGTCCCTTGCGGAAACAATATGAAGCCAGTAAATATTTTGAAACGATATCTATGCTGGATACCATGTGAAACTACGTGCCCATAAAGCTAACTTCTCTTGAACTGCCGTTCTGCAGTGGCGTTAATCAAAGTTATTTGCATTTTAATCCACGTTATCAATGTTCCAAGTATAACTCAGCACTATATATGAATAGAGGTGTAATGTACACTAATTTATCTAGTGTCTTCAACGACACGTTTCATAAGGTGGTGTTAATTATAAGTAAATTGGAATTTGTTTTCTCCTGCGGCGTCAATTAAAACTAAATGATATTTGTTTTCGCCCGGGTTCGAACCGAGGGCCTTTCGCGTGTGAGGCGAACGTGATAACCACTACACTACGAAAACTCGTTACATGAAATCCCAAAAAATCAGTTAGGCTTCAAATGTTGTATTCGCAAGTTTTTGAAACTGCAAAATTGGAAGATTGTGTGATCAATTCACTATACTGTTAATTGTATTTTCGAGAACATGTGAGAAAAGCAAGCAGCCTGTTTCCGTAGTGTAGTGGTTATCACGTTCGGCTAACACGCGAAAGGTCCCTGGCGGAAACAATATGAAGCCAGTAAATATTTTGAAACGATATCTATGCTGGATACCATGTGAAACTACGTGCCCATCAAATCAGTTAGGCTTCAAATGTTGTATTCGCAAGTTTTTGAAACTGCAAAATTGGAAGATTGTGTGATCAATTCACTATACTGTTAAATGTATTTTCGAGAAGATGTGAGAAAAGCAAGCAGCCTGTTTCCGTAGTGTAGTGGTTATCACGTTCGCCTACCACGCGAAAGGTCCCTGGTTCGAGCCCAGGCGGAAACAATATGAAGCCAGTAAATATTTTGAAACGTTATCAATGCTGGATACCATGTGAAACTACGTGCCCATAAAGCTAACTTCTCTTGAACTGCAGTTCTGCAGTGGCGTTAATCAAAGTTATTTGCATTTTAATACACGTTATCAATGTTCCAAGTATAACTTAGCACTATATATGAATAGAGGTGTAATGTACACTAATTTACCTATTGTTTTCAACGACACGTTTCATAAGGTGGTGTTAATTATAAGTAAATTGGAATTTGTTTTCTCCTGCGGCGTCAATTAAAACTAAATGATATTTGTTTTCGCCCGGGTTCGAACCGGGGGCCTTTCGCGTGTGAGGCGAACGTGATAACCACTACACTACGAAAACTCGTTACATGAAATCCCAAAAAATCAGTTAGGCTTCAAATGTTGTATTCGCAAGTTTTTGAAACTGCCAAATTGGAAGATTGTGTGATCAATTCACTATACTGTTAATTGTATTTTCGAGAAGATGTGAGAAAAGCAAGCAGCCTGTTTCCGTAGTGTAGTGGTTATCACGTTCGGCTAACACGCAAAAGGTCCCTGGCGGAAACAATATGAAGCCAGTAAATATTTTGAAACGATATCTATGCTGGATACCATGTGAAACTACGTGCCCATAAAGCTAACTTCTCTTGAACTGCAGTTCTGCAGTGGCGTTAATCAAAGTTATTTGCATTTTAATCCACGTTATCAATGTTCCAAGTATAACTTAGCACTATATATGAATAGAGGTGTAATGTACACTAATTTACCTATTGTTTTCAACGACACGTTTCATAAGGTGGTGTTAATTATAAGTAAATTGGAATTTGTTTTCTCCTGCGGCGTCAATTAAAACTAAATGATATTTGTTTTCGCCCGGGTTCGAACCGGGGGCCTTTCGCGTGTGAGGCGAACGTGATAACCACTACACTACGAAAACTCGTTACATGAAATCCCAAAAAATCAGTTAGGCTTCAAATGTTGTATTCGCAAGTTTTTGAAACTGCCAAATTGGAAGATTGTGTGATTAATTCACTATACTGTTAATTGTATTTTCGAGAAGATGTGAGAAAAGCAAGCAACTTGTTTCCGTACTGTAGTGGTTATCACGTTCGCCTAACACGCGAAAGGTCCCTGGTTCGAGCCCAGGCGGAAACAATATGAAGCCAGTAAATATTTTGAAACTATATCTATGCTCGAAAACATGTGAAACTACGTGCCCATAAAGCTAACTTCTCTTGAACTGCAGTTCTGCAGTGGCGTTAATCAAAGTTATTGGCATTTTAATCCACGTAATCAATGTTCCAAGTATAACTTAGCACTATATATGAATAGAGGTGTAATGTACACTAATTTACCTATTGTCTTCAACGACACGTTTCATAAGGTGGTGTTAATTATAAGTAAATTGGAATTTGTTTTCTCCTGCGGCGTCAATTAAAACTAAATAATTATTGTTTTCGCCCGGGTTCGAACCGGGGGCATTTCGCATGTGAGGCGAACGTGATAACCACTACACTACGAAAACTCGTTACATGAAATCGCAAAAAATCAGTTAGGCTTCAAATGTTGTATTCGCAAGTTTTTGAAACTGCAAAATTGGAAGATTGTGTGATCAATTCACTATACTGTTAGTTGTATTTTCGAGAAGATGTGAGAAAAGCAAGCAGCCTGTTTCCGTAGTGTAGTGGCTATCACGTTCGGCTAACACGCGAAAGGTCCCTGGCGGAAACAATATGAAGCCAGTAAATATTTTGAAACGATATCTATGCTGGATACCATGTGAAACTACGTGCCCATAAAGCTAACTTCTCTTGAACTGCAGTTCTGCAGTGGCGTTAATCAAAGTTATTTGCATTTTAATCCACGTTATCAATGTTCCAAGTATAACTTAGCACTATATATGAATAGAGGTGTAATGTACACTAATTTACGTATTGTCTTCAACGACACCATTCATAATGTGGTGTTAATTATAAGTAAATTGGAATTTCTTTTCTCCTGCAGCGTTAATTTAAACTAAATGATTTTTGTTTTCGCCCGGGTTCGAACCGGGGGTCTTTCGCGTGTGAGGCAAACGTGATAACCACTACACTACGAAAACTCGTTACATGAAATCGCAAAAAATCAGTTAGGCTTCAAATGTTGTATTCGCAAGTTTTTTACCTATTGTCTTCAACGACACGTTTCATAAGGTGGTGTTAATTATAAGTAAATTGGAATTTGTTTTCTCCTGCGGCGTCAATTAAAACTAAATGATACTTGTTTTCGCCCGGGTTCGAACCGGGGGCCTTTCGCGTGTGAGGCGAACGTGAAAACCACTACACTACGAAAACTCGTTACATGAAATCGCAAAAAATCAGTTAGGCTTCAAATGTTGTATTCGCAAGTTTTTGAAACTGCAAAATTGGAAGATTGTGTGATCAATTCACTATACTGTTAATTGTATTTTCGAGAAGATGTGAGAAAAGCAAGCAACTTGTTTCCGTGGTGTACTGGTTATCACGTTCGCCTAACACGCGAAAGGTCTCTGGTTCGAGCCCAGGCGGAAACAATATGAAGCCAGTAAATATTTTGAAACGATATCTATGCTGGATACCATGTGAAACTACGTGCCCATAAAGCTAACTTCTCTTGAACTGCAGTACTGCAGTGGCGTTAATCAAAGTTATTTGCATTTTAATCCACGTTATCAATGTTCCAAGTATAACTTAGCACTATATATGAATAGAAGTGTAATGTACGCTAATTTACTTATTGTCTTCAACGACACGTTTCATAAGGTGGTGTTAATTATAAGTAAATTGGAATTTCTTTTCTCCTGCAGCGTTAATTAAAACTAAATGAATTTTGTTTTCGCCCGGGTTCGAACCGGGGGCCTTTCGCGTGTGAGGCAAACGTGATAACCACTACACTACGAAAACTCGTTACATGAAATCGCAAAAAATCAGTTAGGCTTCAAATGTTGTATTCGCAAGTTTTTGAAACTGCAAAATTGGAAGATTGTGTGATCAATTCACTATACTGTTAATTGTATTTTCGAGAAGATGTGAGAAAAGCAAGCAGCCTGTTTCCGTAGTGTAGTGGTTATCACGTTCGGCTAACACGCGAAAGGTCCCTGGCGGAAACAATATGAGCCAGTAAATATTTTGAAACGATATCTATGCTGGATACCATGTGAAACTACGTGCCCATAAAGCTAACTTCTCTTGAACTGCAGTTCTGCAGTGGCGTTAATCAAAGTTATTTGCATTTTAATCCACGTTATCAATGTTCCAAGTATAACTTAGCACTATATATGAATAGAGGTGTAATGTACACTAATTTACCTATTGTCTTCAAGGACACGTTTCATAAGGTGGTGTTAATTATAAGTAAATTGGAATTTGTTTTCTCCTGCGGCGTCAACTAAAACTAAATGATATTTGTTTTCGCCCGGGTTCGAACCGGGGGCCTTTAGCGTGTGAGGCAAACGTGATAACCACTACACTACGAAAACTCGTTACATGAAATCGCAAAAAATCAGTTAGGCTTCAAATGTTGTATTCGCAAGTTTTTGAAACTGCAAAATTGGAAGATTGTGTGATCAATTCACTATACTGTTAATTGTATTTTCGAGAAGATGTGAGAAAAGCAAGCAGCCTGTTTCCGTAGTGTAGTGGTTATCACGTTCGGCTAACACGCGAAAGGTCCCTGGCGGAAACAATATGAAGCCAGTAAATATTTTGAAACGATATCTATGCAGGATACCATGTGAAACTACGTGCCCATAAAGCTAACTTCTCTTGAACTGCAGTTCTGCAGTGGCGTTAATCAAAGTTATTTGCATTTTAATCCACGTTATCAATGTTCCAAGTATAACTTAGCACTATATATGAATAGAGGTGTAATGTACACTAATTTACCTATTGTCTTCAACGACACGTTTCATAAGGTGGTGTTAATTATAAGTTAATTGGAATTTCTTTTCTCCTGCAGCGTCAATTAAAACTAAATGATACTTGTTTTCGCCCGGGTTCGAACCGGGGGCCTTTCGCGTGTGAGGCGAACGTGATAACCACTACACTACGAAAACTCGTTACATGAAATCGCAAAAAATCAGTTAGGCTTCAAATGTTGTATTCGCAAGTTTTTGAAACTGCAAAATTGGAAGATTGTGTGATCAATTCACTATACTGTTAATTGTATTTTCGAGAAGATGTGAGAAAAGCAAGCAACTGTTTCCGTGGTGTACTGGTTATCACGTTCGCCTAACACGCGAAAGGTCCCTGGTTCGAGCCCAGGCGGAAACAATATGAAGCCAGTAAATATTTTGAAACGATATCTATGCTGGATACCATGTGAAACTACGTGCCCATAAAGCTAAATTCTCTTGAACTGCAGTACTGCAGTGGCGTTAATCAAAGTTATTTGCATTTTAATCCACGTTATCAATGTTCCAAGTATAACTTAGCACTATATATGAATAGAAGTGTAATGTACGCTAATTTACCTATTGTCTTCAACGACACGTTTCATAATGTGGTGTTAATTATAAGTTAATTGGAATTTCTTTTCTCCTGCAGCGTTAATTAAAACTAAATGAATTTTGTTTTCGCCCGGGTTCGAACCGGGAGCCTTTCGCGTGTGAGGCAAACGTGATAACCACTACATTACGAAAACTCGTTACATGAAATCGCAAAAAATCAGTTAGGCTTCAAATGTTGTATTCGCAAGTTTTTGAAACTGCAAAATTGGAGGATTGTATTTTCGAGAAGATGTGAGAAAAGCAAGCAGCCTGTTTCCGTAGTGTAGTGGTTATCACGTTCGGCTAACACGCGAAAGGTCCCTAGCGGAAACAATATGAAGCCAGTAAATATTTTGAAACGTTATCTATGCTGGATACCATGTGAAACTACGTGCCCATAAAGCTAACTTCTCTTGAACTGCAGTTCTGCAGTGGCGTTAATCAAAGTTATTTGCATTTTAATCCACGTTATCAATGTTCCAAGTATAACTTAGCACTATATATGAATAGAGGTGTAATGTACACTAATTTACCTATTGTCTTCAACGACACGTTTCGTAAGGTGGTGTTAATTATAAGTAAATTGGAATTTGTTTTCTCCTGCGGCGTCAATTAAAACTGAATGATTTTTGTTTTCGCCCGGGTTCGAACCGAGGGCCTTTCGCGTGTGAGGCGAACGTGATAACCACTACACTACGAAAACTCGTTACATGAAATCGCAAAAAATCAGTTAGGCTTCAAATGTTGTATTCGCAAGTTTTTGAAACTGCAAAATTGGAAGATTGTGTGATCAATTCACTATACTGTTAATTGTATTTTCGAGAAGATGTGAGAAAAGCAAGCAACTTGTTTCCGTAGTGTAGTGGTTATCACGTTCGCCTAACACGCGAAAGGTCCCTGGTTCGAGCCCAGGCGGAAACAATATGAAGCCAGTAAATATTTTGAAACGATATCTATGCTCGATACCATGTGAAACTACGTGCCCATAAAGCTAACTTCTCTTGAACTGCAGTTCTGCAGTGGCGTTAATCAAAGTTATTTGCATTTTAATCCACGTTATCAATGTTCCAAGAATAACTTAGCACTATATATGAATAGAGGTGTAATGTACACTAATTTACCTATTGTCTTCAACGACACGTTTCATAAGGTGGTGTTAATTATAAGTAAATTGGAATTTCTTTTCCAATGCGGCGTTAATTAAAACTAAATGATTTTTGTTTTCGCCCGGGTTCGAACCGGGGACCTTTCGCGTGTGAGGCAAACGTGATAACCACTACACTACGAAAACTCGTTACATGAAATCCCAAAAAATTAGTTAGGCTTCAAATGTTGTATTCGCAAGTTTTTGAAACTTCAAAATTGGAAGATTGTGTGATCAATTCACTATACTGTTAATTGTATTTTCGAGAAGATGTGAGAAAAGCAAGCAGCCTGTTTCCGTAGTGTAGTGGTTATCACGCGAAAGGTCCCTAGCGGAAACAATATGAAGCCAGTAAATATTTTGAAACGTTATCTATGCTGGATACCATGTGAAACTACGTGCCCATAAAGCTAACTTCTCTTGAACTGCAGTTCTGCAGTGGCGTTAATCAAAGTTATTTGCATTTTAATCCACGTTATCAATGTTCCAAGTATAACTTAGCACTATATATGAATAGAGGTGTAAGGTACACTAATGTACCTATTGTCTTCAACGACACGTTTCGTAAGGTGGTGTTAATTATAAGTAAATTGGAATTTGTTTTCTCCTGCGGCGTCAATTAAAACTGAATGATTTTTGTTTTCGCCCGGGTTCGAACCGGGGGCCTTTCGCGTGTGAGGCGAACGTGATAACCACTACACTACGAAAACTCGTTACATGAAATCGCAAAAAATCAGTTAGGCTTCAAATGTTGTATTCGCAAGTTTTTGAAACTGCAAAATTGGAAGATTGTGTGATCAATTCACTATACTTTTAGTTGTATTTTCGAGAAGATGTGAGAAAAGCAAGCAGCCTGTTTCCGTAGTGTAGTGGCTATCACGTTCGGCTAACACGCGAAAGGTCCCTGGCGGAAACAATATGAAGCCAGTAAATATTTTGAAACGATATCTATGCTGGATACCATGTGAATCTACGTGCCCATAAAGCTAACTTCTCTTGAACTGCAGTTCTGCAGTGGCGTTAATCAAAGTTATTTGCATTTTAATCCACGTTATCAATGTTCCAAGTATAACTTAGCACTATATATGAATAGAGGTGTAATGTACACTAATTTACCTATTGTCTTCAACGACACGTTTCATAAGGTGGTGTTAATTATAAGTAAATTGGAATTTGTTTTCTCCTGCGGCGTCAATTAAAACTGAATGATTTTTGTTTTCGCCCGGGTTCAAACCGGGGGCCTTTCGCGTGTGAGGCGAACGTGATAACCACTACACTACGAAAACTCGTTACATGAAATCGCAAAAAATCAGTTAGGCTTCAAATGTTGTATTCGCAAGTTTTTGAAACTGCAAAATTGGAAGATTGTGTGATCAATTCACTATACTGTTAATTGTATTTTCGAGAAGATGTGAGAAAAGCAAGCAACCTGTTTCCGTGGTGTAGTGGTTATCACGTTCGCCTAACACGCGAAAGGTCCCTGGTTCGAACCCAGGCGGAAACAATATGAAGCCAGTAAATATTTTGAAACGATATCTATGCTGGATACCATGTGAAACTACGTACCCATAAAGCTAACTTCTCTTGAACTGCAGTTCTGCAGTGGCGTTAATCAAAGTTATTTGCATTTTAATCCACGTTATCAATGTTCCAAGAATAACTTAGCACTATATATGAATAGAGGTGTAATGTACACTAATTTACCTATTGTCTTCAACGACACGTTTCATAAGGTGGTGTTAATTATAAGTAAATTGAAATTTCTTTTCCAATGCGGCGTTAATTAAAACTAAATGATTTTTGTTTTCGCCCGGGTTCGAACCGGGGACCTTTCGCGTGTGAGGCAAACGTGATAACCACTACACTACGAAAACTCGTTACATGAAATCCCAAAAAATCAGTTAGGCTTCAAATGTTGTATTCGCAAGTTTTTGAAACTTCAAAATTGGAAGATTGTGTGATCAATTCACTATACTGTTAATTGTATTTTCGAGAAGATGTGAGAAAAGCAAGCAGCCTGTTTCCGTAGTGTAGTGGTTATCACGTTCGCCTAACACGCGAAAGGTCCCTGGTTCGAGCCCAGGCGGAAACAATATGAATCCAGTAAATATTTTGAAACGATATCTATGCTGGATACCATGTGAAACTACGTGCCCATAAAGCTAACTTCTCTTGAACTGCAGTTCTGCAGTGGCGTTAATCAAAGTTATTTGCATTTTAATCCACGTTATCAATGTTCCAAGTATAACTTAGCACTATATATGAATAGAGGTGTAATGTACACTAATTTACCTATTGTCTTCAACGACACGTTTCATAAGGTGGTGTTAATTATAAGTAAATTGGAATTTCTTTTCCAATGCGGCGTTAATTAAAACAAAATGATTTTTGTTTCCGCCCGGGTTCAAACCGGGGGCTTTTCGCTTGTGAGGTAAACGTGATAACCACTGCACTACGAAAACTCGTTACATGAAATCGCAAAAAATCAGTTAGGCTCCAAATGTTGTATTCGCAAGTTTTTGAAACTGCAAAATTGGAAGATTGTGTGATCAATTCACTATACTGTTAATTGTATTTTCGAGAAGATGTGAGAAAAGCAAGCAGCCTGTTTCCGTAGTGTAGTGGTTATCACGTTCGCCTAACACGCGAAAGGTCCCTGGTTCGAGCCCAGGCGGAAACAATATGAATCCAGTAAATATTTTGAAACGATATCTATGCTGGATACCATGTGAAACTACGTGCCCATAAAGCTAACTTCTCTTGAACTGCAGTTCTGCAGTGGCGTTAATCAAAGTTATTTGCATTTTAATCCACGTTATCAATGTTCCAAGTATAACTTAGCACTATATATGAATAGAGGTGTAATGTACACTAATTTACCTATTGTCTTCAACGACACGTTTCATAAGGTGGTGTTAATTATAAGTAAATTGGAATTTGTTTTCTCCTGCGGCGTCAACTAAAACTAAATGATATTTGTTTTCGCCCGGGTTCGAACCGGGGGCCTTTCGCGTGTGAGGCAAACGTGATAACCACTACACTACGAAAACTCGTTACATGAAATCCCAAAAAATCAGTTAGGCTTCAAATGTTGTATTCGCAAGTTTTTGAAACTGCAAAATTGGAAGATTGTGTGATCAATTCACTATACTGTTAATTGTATTTTCGAGAAGATGTGAGAAAAGCAAGCAGCCTGTTTTCGTAGTGTAGTGGTTATCACGTTCGCCTAACACGCGAAAGGTCCCTGGTTCGAGCCCAGGCGGAAACAATATGAAGCCAGTAAATATTTTGAAACGATATCTATGCTGGATACCATGTGAAACTACGTGCCCATAAAGCTAACTTCTCTTGAACTGCAGTTCTGCAGTGGCGTTAATCAAAGTTATTTGCATTTTAATCCACGTTATCAATGTTCCAAGTATAACTTAGCACTATATATGAATAGAGGTGTAATGTACACTAATTTACCTATTGTCTTCAACGACACGTTTCATAAGGTGGTGTTAATTATAAGTAAATTGGAATTTCTTTTCTCCTGCGGCGTTAATTAAAACTAAATGATTTTTGTTTTCGCCCGGGTTCGAAAAGGGGGCCTTTCGCGTGTGAGGCAAACGTGATAACCACTACACTACGAAAACTCGTTACATGAAATCGCAAAAAATCAGTTAGGCTTCAAATGTTGTATTCGCAAGTTTTTGAAACTGCAAAATTGGAAGATTGTGTGATCAATTCACTATACTGTTAATTGTATTTTCGAGAAGATGTGAGAAAAGCAAGCAGCCTGTTTCCGTAGTGTAGTGGTTATCACGTTCGGCTAACACGCGAAAGGTCCCTGGCGGAAACAATATGAAGCCAGTAAATATTTTGAAACGATATCTATGCTGGATACCATGTGAAACTACGTGCCCACAAAGCTAACTTCTCTTGAACTGCAGTTCTGCAGTGGCGTTAATCAAAGTTATTTGCATTTTAATCCACGTTATCAATGTTCCAAGTATAACTTAGCACTATATATGAATAGAGGTGTAATGTACACTAATTTACCTATTGTCTTCAACGACACGTTTCATAAGGTGGTGTTAATTATAAGTAAATTGGAATTTCTTTTCTCCTGCGGCGTTAATTAAAACTAAATGATTTTTGTTTTCGCCCGGGTTCGAAAAGGGGGCCTTTCCCGTGTGAGGCAAACGTGATAACCACTACACTACGAAAACTCGTTACATGAAATCCCAAAAAATCAGTTAGGCTTCAAATGTTGTATTCGCAAGTTTTTGAAACTGCAAAATTGGAAGATTGTGTGATCAATTCACTATACTGTTAATTGTATTTTCGAGAAGATGTGAGAAAAGCAAGCAGCCTGTTTCCGTAGTGTAGCGGTTATCACGTTCGGCTAACACGCGAAAGGTCCCTGGCGGAAACAATATGAAGCCAGTAAATATTTTGAAACGATATCTATGCTGGATACCATGTGAAACTACGTGCCCATCAAATCAGTTAGGCTTCAAATGTTGTATTCGCAAGTTTTTGAAACTGCAAAATTGGAAGATTGTGTGATCAATTCACTATACTGTTAAATGTATTTTCGAGAAGATGTGAGAAAAGTAAGCAGCCTGTTTCCGTAGTGTAGTGGTTATCACGTTGGCCTAACACGCGAAAGGTCCCTGGTTCGAGCCCAGGCGGAAACAATATGAAGCCAGTAAATATTTTGAAACGATATCTATGCTGGATACCATGTGAAACTACGTGCCCATAAAGCTAACTTCTCTTGAACTGCCGTTCTGCAGTGGCGTTAATCAAAGTTATTTGCATTTTAATCCACGTTATCAATGTTCCAAGTATAACTTAGCACTATATATGAATAGAGGTGTAATGTACACTAATTTACCTATTGTCTTCAACGACACGTTTCGTAAGGTGGTGTTAATTATAAGTAAATTGGAATTTGTTTTCTCCTGCGGCGTCAATTAAAACTAAATGATATTTGTTTTCGCCCGGGTTCGAATCGGGGGCCTTTCGCGTGTCAGGCGAACGTGATAACCACTACACTACGGAAACAGGCTGCTTGCTTTTCTCACATCTTCTCGAAAATACAATTAACAGTATAGTGAATTGATCACACAATCTTCCAATTTGGCAGTTTCAAAAACTTGCGAATACAACATTTGAAGCCTAACTGATTTTTTGGGATTTCATGTAACGAGTTTTCGTAGTGTAGTGGTTATCACGTTCGCCTCACACGCGAAAGGCCCCCGGTTCGAACCCGGGCGAAAACAAATATCATTTAGTTTTAATTGACGCCGCAGGAGAAAACAAATTCCAATTTACTTATAATTAACACCACCTTATGAAACGTGTCGTTGAAAACAATAGGTAAATTAGTGTACATTACACCTCTATTCATATATAGTGCTAAGTTATACTTGGAACATTGATAACGTGTATTAAAATGCAAATAACTTTGATTAACGCCACTGCAGAACTGCAGTTCAAGAGAAGTTAGCTTTATGGGCACGTAGTTTAACATGGTATCCAGCATTGATAACGTTTCAAAATATTTACTGGCTTCATATTGTTTCCGCCAGGGACCTTTTGCGTGTTAGCCGAACGTGATAACCACTACACTACGGAAACAGGCTGCTTGCTTTTCTCACATCTTCTCGAAAATACAATTAACAGTATAGTGAATTGATCACACAATCTTCCAATTTGGCAGTTTCAAAAACTTGCGAATACAACATTTGAAGCCTAACTGATTTTTTGGGATTTCATGTAACGAGTTTTCGTAGTGTAGTGGTTATCACGTTCGCCTCACACGCGAAAGGCCCCCGGTTCGAACCCGGGCGAAAACAAATATCATTTAGTTTTAATTGACGCCGCAGGAGAAAACAAATTCCAATTTACTTATAATTAACACCACCTTATGAAACGTGTCGTTGAAAACAATAGGTAAATTAGTGTACATTACACCTCTATTCATATATAGTGCTAAGTTATACTTGGAACATTGATAACGTGTATTAAAATGCAAATAACTTTGATTAACGCCACTGCAGAACTGCAGTTCAAGAGAAGTTAGCTTTATGGGCACGTAGTTTCACATGGTATCCAGCATTGATAACGTTTCAAAATATTTACTGGCTTCATATTGTTTCCGCCTGGACTCGAACCAGGGACCTTTCGCGTGTTAGCCGAACGTGATAACCACTACACTACGGAAACAGGCTGCTTGCTTTTCTCACATCTTCTCGAAAATACAATTAACAGTATAGTGAATTGATCACACAATCTTCCAATTTTGCAGTTTCAAAAACCTGCGAATACAACATTTGAAGCCTAACTGATTTTTTGGGATTTCATGTAACAAGTTTTCGTAGTGTAGTCGTTATCACGTTCGCCTCACTCGCGAAAGGCCCCCGGTTCGAACCCGGGCGAAAACAAATATCATTTAGTTTTAATTGACGCCGCAGGAGAAAACAAATTCCAATTTACTTATAATTAACACCACCTTAAGAAACGTGTCGTTGAAGACAATAGGTAAATTAGTGTACATTACACCTCTATTCATATATAGTGCTAAGTTATACTTGGAACATTGATAACGTGGATTAAAATGCAAATAACTTTGATTAACGCCACTGCAGAACTGCAGTTCAAGAGAAGTTATCTTTATGGGCACGTAGTTTCACATGGTATCCAGCATATATATCGTTTCAAAATATTTACTGGCTTCATATTGTTTCCGCCTGGGACCTTTCGCGTGTTAGCCGAACGCGATAACCACTACACTACGGAAACAGGCTGCTTGCTTTTCTCACATCTTCTCGAAAATACAATTAACAGTATAGTGAATTGATCACACAATCTTCCAATTTGGCAGTTTCAAAAACTTGCGAATACAACATTTGAAACCTAACTGATTTTTTGCGATTTCATGTAACGAGTTTTCGTAGTGTAGTGGTTATCACATTTGCCTCACACGCGAAAGGTCCCCGGTTCGAACCCGGGCGAAAACAAAAATCATTTAGTTTTAATTAACGCCGCAGGAGAAAAGAAATTCCAATTTACTTATAATTAACACCACCTTATGAAACGAGTCGTTGAAGACAATAGGTAAATTAGCGTACATTACACTTCTATTCATATATAGTGCTAAGTTATACTTGGAACATTGATAATGTGGATTAAAATGCAAAATACTTGATAACGCCACTGCAGAACGGCAGTTCAAGAGAAGTTAGCTTTATGGGCACGTAGTTTCACATGGTATCCAGCATAGATATCGTTTCAAAATATTTACTGGCTTCATATTGTTTCCGCCTGGGCTCGAACCAGGGGACCTTTCGCGTGTTAGGCGAACGTGATAACCACTACACTACGGAAACAGGCTGCTTGCTTTTCTCACATCTTCTCGAAAATACATTTAACAGTATAGTGAATTGATCACACAATCTTTCAATTTTGC